CAATCAGCTCCAATCAATCTAGCTCCTATATACTGGCAGGAAAGTCACAGAGAAAAACTGCCAGGGTTGTGTTGGATCTATCTAGGAAAGCAGATATCACTATCTCCTTATCCTGCCTTTATTCCTAATATCGGTTTGTAAGGGGATAAATTCAAGAACTGCCCATCCCTATAGAAAAGTAAAGAATGGCAATAATGGGATATGCAACCTGGAATAGAAATTCATTCCATGTACTGGCCCAAAAGAGGTGGTACAGTATCTGACACAAGTTATGCACAGTGTCTGATATTATTTCCATTGTCTGCACCGCTGCAGAAGACAAATCTCTCCCAAGATACAAGAGGGTACCATTTTAATTGCTGGCTATTTCAAATTCACTAAGACCTGTGGGCTTTCAGGATCACTGATTTTAAAATGACATTTTCCATTGTTATAACCAAGATGGATTGAGTGTGTTGTTGGTCTCACTCCAATAGTTCCAAGGTAACAACAATATTTTACTCAAGTCTTAATATAACCAGTCAAATCATTTCTCGATATTAAACTTAGAAAGAAAAGATCCATCAAACGGTTTCTTCAATAAACACAAAATAATTGATTTATTATAAAACAAAACCCATTCAACAAAGATGCAGAATTGATTAACATATGCAATTTGTTGATCAAACGTTTATTCTACAAAAAAATCTGAATGTACTTCAGGTAGAGGGGAGGAAGAAATGGATTTCTCTCTGTAGGGATTCACTTAAAAAAATACCTTTCTGACCAATGGTTGGTATTCTTGAAGGTAACTACGAAAAGGCATAGAATGTTCTAGAGTCTGTTGATCTGATGATCATTCATGATTACTTCTACAAATCTTGTCAGACAAAGCTTGCTCAGGAACCAGAATATTGAGAGGTTGTTCCAGTCACTTATCCAGAACAATCATGTTTCACAGCCAAGGTGTTTCAGTAACAAGAGACACTAGCAGAACAGCTTGCCCTATAGCTGGCTTTCCTCAACGAATTCCAAACAGAAAGCCATATATTATTCCAACAGCTTCAATAGGGGATCTCCAATAAACACACAGTTTGTATGTCATATGCTTCCAATAAGCTTCATTAGAACATTGTCAATTTCCAAAGGCCTTTCAATGACTGTTTTATAAAAACCTAATTCAGATTGCTGTGTAAAATTTAAAATAGACCCATTTTTCCACAATTCTTCAATACTCAAGTCCTTGAAGAAATATTAAATATTGAAGCAGCTTCCTAACACCTTGTGGAACTGCAGTATGTATCCTCTGTAATATGAGAGAAGCAAGCTAGTGATAATCACAATTAAATGACTTCTCACACTTCTCAGATATTAAAAACACTGTCATTGTTTTCAGTGCAAAAGAAATGTCAGTATCACACAAAATGTATTATACATACAAATATATTTTAGGGCTGTTACTGCAGTGTTCTTACAATGGCAACAGAGAAGTGGGAGATTGCAGAAATCAGTGCTAAGTGCACAACACCTCACAGGGATGAAAATCCTTGTCCTTCAGGCTTTCAAAGGCATTCTCCAGTTCACAGGTATCAGTATTCACAGGAATATCACCACCTGCAAGCTCCCCTCCAAGGTCTTTTCACCAGAGTAAGGGGGTCCAAAACAAGAGGGCACAGGTTTAAGGTGAGAACAAAAAGATTTAAAAGGGACCTGAGGAGCATTTGGAACTGTGTCCCCGTTCCTTCACTATCATTTGGTCAAAAATCCTGGAACTCCCTCCCTAAGAAACTGTGAGTATCCCTGCATCCTATGAACTGCAGCAGTTCATGGAGACAGGTCACCACTGCCCTCTACAAGGCAACTTGGGATGGGCTATCAATGCTGGCCTAGCCAGTGACATCCACATCCCATGAACACATAATGAAGAAAAAGTATCACTTTGCTGCCTCAGTGTCCATGTGTACAGAGGGAATGTTGAATGAAATCAATTTCTTCAAGAGATGTGGGTGTCGCTGGCTGGGCCAGCATTTATTGTCTATCCCTAGTTGCTAGGAGTGCAGTTACGAGGCAACCCGATTGCTGTGGTTTTGGAGTCACACATAGACCACATCAGGTAAGGATGGCAGGTTTCCTTCCCTAAAAGACATTCATGGGCGAGATGGGATTTCATGGTAATAGGCAGTGGGTTACATGGTAGCATTAGGCTAGATTTTAATTCCAAATTGTCACTGAATTCAAATTTTATCACCTGCCATGGCAGGATTTGAACTCTTTTCACCAGAACATGAGCTTGAGGTTCTGGATTACAATTCCAGTGACATTACCACTACACATTGCCTCCCTAGTGATGCTGGAGCAAAATTAGGCAAGGATTGCAAGAAGCAGTGTACAGCATTTATGGCTCTATAACAGACATTAAGAAAAAGCTAATTAATCAACCTGTTCGGCCATGTTATGAGATATCTCAATGACAGGGTGGGACTTCAATGCAGACCTTCTGGCCCAGAGGTAGGAACACTCCCACGACATCACAATAGCTCCTTGACAGATTTGTATGTTCAACAAAAATGTATTCGTTTTCACTATGTTTATTCATATAATGACTAGCTATATGAATGAATGTATCTTAACAGCATCACCTGCAATGTCTACAACTGGGTCAATTTCCTAATTAGTTTACCAAATTGAGGAAGCTTGAATTGTAACGTGATGTCCTTACCTCAAGTCCGATCTACCCCAGAGGTGTGTCATGTCAAACATGTTGAATGGTAATGTGAGTTTGGGCTGTGCAGATACATTTCAAAACCTTGGATCTGTGCAAAAGAAATGAAGTCTGAATAGCTAATTGAAGTGGCATAATATTTATTTTCTCATTTTTGAGATGTGAAAATTGCTGGCGAGACTCGGATACATTGCTCATCTCTAGTTGTTCTTGAGAATGTGGTACTGAGCTGCCTTCTTGAACTGGTGCACTCAGTCTGGTGTAGATATAACCATGGAGCTGTTGGCAACAGAGTTCCTAGATTTTGGCTCACCAACAATGAAGGAATGGTGATAGAGTTCCAAGTCAGTTTGATGAGTGACTTGGAGACCAATTAGCAACAGTTGCTGTTCCTACGTTTCTGGACACAGATTTGGAAGGTGCTGTCAGAGGGAGCTTGGTGACTTACTGCAGTGCATCTTGTTAATGATACACACTGCTGCCACTGTGTGCTAGTTGTAGAGGGAGCGAATGTTGAAGATGGTGAATAAGGTGTCATTCAAGCTGCTATGTCTTCGATAGCCTCAAACTTTGTGCATGTTGTTTGGAGATGTAGGCATTTAGGTAAATGGAGAGTATTCCACCACACACTCTTGGCTTGTGTCTCGTATGTGGACAGGCTCTGGGGAGTCCAGAAACAGATTACTCACCAGAGAATTCACAGCATCTGACATCATCTTGTCACCACAATATTTATGTTATAGGTTCAGTAAATTTTCTGGTCAACAGTAACCCACAGGGTGTTAATGTTGAAGTGATTCAGCAATGCTGAAGCTGCTCAATGTCAAGCGGATATAGAATCATTGAATCATAGAGTACAGAAGGCCCTTCAGTGGATGAAGTCTGTAACAACAAAAAAACACTAATCTAAATCTACACTCGTCCCAGCTTCCGGCATTTTGCCCATAGCCTTGAATGTTATGAGTGCTCATCCAAGTACATTTAAAGAATGTCAGATTTCCAGCCTCTACTACCCTCCCAGGCACTGCATTTCGGATTTCCACCATACTCTGGATGAAACTGTTTTTCCTCAGATCCTCTCTAAACTTCTTTGTCCCTCACCTTAAAATTACACCTCCACATTGTTGAACCTTCAACTAAGGGGCATAGCTGCTTTCTATCCGTGCTGTCTATGCCTCTCATAATCTTTTACACCACAATGGGGTTTGCTCTCAGCCTCTCTGCTCTAAAGCAAACATGGTTTATTTAGGTTCACTCTCATTGGAGATGCTCGTTGTTTACTGATCGTCATCATTTTTAACCACTGGAGATTGTAAACAGATAAATATGGAGCCTTTCGAAATGGGGATGGTGACAGGGGGTGGGGGTGGAAGGTGCAGAGTTGCAAGTTGTAGAATTGGATCAAGCACTTGTATCAGATTCCTGCCATCAGGATAACTATCCCCAGTTAAGTCTGGGGCACAAACAGCTTTCAAAAATTCCCAAATCAACCTGTTCAGAGGTGTCATTATTCACTTCTAGGGCAGGTAAGACTTGAACCTGGGCCTCTTGGTTCAGAGATAGGGATGCTACAATTGCACCAGAACAGATTTTCCCCAATGAGCTTCATACTGGAATCTTGTCCAGAGGAGCAGGATGTCAATTTGGCTCATTCAAAGAACAGAGCAAAGAACAGTACAGCACAGCAACAGGCCCTTCAGCCCTCCAAGCCTGCACCGACACATTTTGGCCTTTCATACTAAAACTACATGAACTACTTGAAATTAATTATCCCTGATCCCACCAGAATTTATTGGTGGCTCAAGGATGTAATGAAACTAATTGAGCGCTCTCAAACTTCTTGAAGGCTGCAAAGCCAACACCGAGAGGCTTGTCTGGGGCCTCATAAGGGGATCCATCATTGTTGGGTACTCATTGCCCAATTTTTGGACCAGGTTTTGGGAAGTGAGCTGCTGAAGGTCACCTTCTGTCTTCAGGTTTGACCTTCTCACCAACCCCCCTCATCCCAGAGCAAACCTTTCCCCATGACTCCCTTCCCACCTCTCACCACTGTACAGGGATCCACTGGAGATGGATTGCGTTGGGCTGTGAAGTATTGCCAGTTGCAGCCACCTCGCACGATGGTGAGTTGGTGGGATTGAGAACCCATGTCGCTAATGTAACAACGCAGATCCTGTTACTGAATCTTCTTGTTTCAAATAGCAGGACACTTCAAGGAAAATCACAGCCCAAACAAACTCAATCAGGCTGCGGGAGTGACGGGTTGACTGACATTTCAAATCTCTCATATTCCCAATAGATGCTTATCCAACCTCGGAGGTCATTTACACATGGACGAACGAAACTCACAAATCGGTGGTTGTGGCAGAAGATGGATCGCGTCTAAATCAGTATGATTTATTAGGTCAAACTGTGGGCAGTGAACTTATCCCTTCAAACACAGGTCTGTTTACATTTTCATCTGCTTTTGCTCAAAGGTATGAGATAACTGCTACACTTTAATTCAAGATTTTTTAAAAATTTCAGTGGGTCATTTACTTATTACTCTGTTATAAGTGCCTATAAATTTCAGGTTATAATAGCGAGGAGACTACTCTTTGGAGAAAGGACCACACAGGTAAAAGTAAAAACAGGAAGTGTTAGAGGAACTCAACAGCTCTGGCAGCATCTGTAAAGAGAGAAACAGAATTAAGATTTTGAATCCATGATATGGAGGTGCCGGCGTTGGACTGGGGTGGACAAAGTCAGAAGTCACACGACACTAGGTTATAGTCCAACAGGCTTATTTGAAATCACAAGCTTTCGGAGCATAGCCCCTTCGTCACCTGAAGCTCCGAAAGCTTGTGATTTCAAATAAACCTATTGGACTATAACCTGGTGCTGTGTGACTTCTGGTTTTGAATCTAATACGCCTTTTTCTGGGCATGTATCTTCCGATGTGGCTGCTTTACTAAACAATGTTGTAAGCAAATAGTTTAAAATCTGCTGCAAAACCTGCTGAGTTTCTCCAGCACCTTTTTTTATGTCTGAGATTTTCCAGCATTCACCGTATTTTTGCTTTCACATAATTAAGGTTACTGATCCTATCAACGGTGCTCATTTATTCAGATCTCCAACAATTGCTGGCTTGCTCTTCCTTTGTAAAAGGTACGGCTCCCTTCCTTATGAAACCATTTCATTTTATAAGCTGTATACCGAGCTGAAGCATACTAGCTGGTTTTCAGTCAGTCATAAATTGCAATTCCCTGAGGACACAGTTGATGGTGAATGAAAGCTGGATACAGATACCCTGACTGATCCAGAAACAGTGTCTCCATGAATTGGTGCTTGAGGATGAAGGAGGTTTCTGATCATGGGGGAAGTCTCCCATTGGTCCACATGATATAGATCACGCAGCTAAACATTGGCTTCGCACGACGTCATACCCAGTCAAACAGTCCGCTCTGATTGGCTGCTGGCTGTGAAATTTCACACTCATGTGGCCGGCAACTGTTACGTAAAGTGATACGGAGGCACGGGTTCCCCCCCCCCCCCAAGAACAGACTGGCGCTACTCCAACGCAGCAGGTTCACTAAACTATGCCGAAGGCAGTTGTTTTACCCGCGTTGATGATCTGAAATCTGCTGCTAGGGCCGGTCACAGAACTCCACCAAGCATTTGGGATTAAGGTTTAACGATTAGGATTTTACTGAAATTACTTTGCTGCACAACGCATTGGTTCCTCTTCGAGCTGTGGAGAATTTCCTACGGTCCGGACGTACTGTAGTTGCACAAAACAGCGATAGTGCTCAGAGACTGGTATTTCTAAGGGTGAAAGGCCAACTTGCAAACTAATACGTCAGATACTTTTTTTTTCACTGAATGAACCAGTTTTTGCACACGCGTGCGTGGACATATACGGAAAACACTGCTGGAAAGGTGGCCCTTCCACATTGTGGCGCTCCCATGGTGTCTCAATGGGCCGTGGATCGCAAATACAAGTTGTAAACTTGTGTCTTTTTATTTGATAGTCTCATGAAAGAATATTCCACAGGGTAAAAAGAAAGCTAATTGCAGTGATTCTGAGAATTTAGGGTGGATGCGTCTGATTCCTTGGCAGTTGAAGAAAGAAACATGGGTTTGAAGAAAGTTAATAGAGGAGCCCGCACTGAATCATCCAGCCACCCTCATCACGAGGGAGCTTCTAGGTATGAGAGTTTGCCTGTAGGAAGCGCTGTAACCTTCATTTGCTGAAAAGTGCGTTGTGCTCCAATCTGCCTTTCGGATTATACCGAGATGCTTTTTTTTTCCGTATTGCGTAAAGACGCGTAGTATTAGAGGATTGTTTTTTTTTTTCCCTTTTTAAAAAGGGGCCTAAGTCACTTCAGAATTTCGGTGATAGGCAGAAACGCACACAAAGACCCTCACAGAACTCCAGAAATTATTTGAAGAGTACACAAAAGAGGCAAATCGGACAAGAGCATTTGAAAATAAAATCACAAACGCTGAAAATATTAACCAAAGCAGAACTTACATCCCGTGGCGTTTTCTGCTTCCTTTCTTCAAAGAGTATATATACACACAGTCTGATTCTAAAATGTCCGTCACTAAGTGAGTAGATTATTTGGAGAGCTGGCACAGACGCGAGGGGCCGAATGGACTGCCTCTGCGTTTTCATGGTGCTGTGTTTATGGCACCAAGTTAAGATCATTGAGAATTGTTCTTCCCCTCGTCCCCCCGCCAAACTGGTTTAGGGTGACCGACAGAGTCACTTCCTGTTTCTATATTATAGCACTCCTGAAATGTTCTGAGGAAAAGGTTGAGTGAGACCTTTGGTTTATCACTGAGGGCATTGACAGCACAAGGCAGGCTACAGTATCCGCTCGTCTACAATGTATTGTTCCATGGCAACCCACAATGAATGAATGAATGCCCCCACCTCCCATTATTCCGAGCAACATCCCAGGCGAGTGCCCACAATACAGTAGCACAGTACAGTACAGACCTGCGAGTTCAGATAGATGTTCACACACTTCAAACTGGGACTCACCAATTGACGATCATGGCCGCGTTATTTTCTGCAGCGAATGGTATTTCCCCATTGACTTTCAGCAACAGGATGCTGACCAGGAGACCCAGTGCTTTTGACATGCTCGGCGATTTGTACCCCTCTCTCTGGCAATAACAAGTTCAAAAAGGATAGCAGGCACCCGGCTGGCGGCCACATGGCCCAAGGAGACGAGATATTTGACACATTTTCACTTCACACCGTGTGGCCCTTCCACATTGTGGCGCTCCCGTGATGTCTCAATGGGCCGTGGATCGCAAACACAAGTTGTGAACTTGTGTCTTATTTTTTTATTTGATAAGAATAATCCACAGGGTCAAAAAAAAGCTTCGACTGACACGACAGGCGCTGCATACGGTCCACAGGAATCAGGGCAGAGTGGATGTGACACACTGCTGGATGCAGATTGCAATAAGGGATTAGTAGGCGAATAAAAATCGGCTTTCCAACAGAGAGCAGCAGCCGTGAGCTCTTTCACGGACATAGATAAGTTATGTCCATGGACATCACACAACTGAAGCAATGACTCAACATGTTATGAATAACTCTTTTTGTCTGTTTCTGTCTTAAGTACTGAATTTTATTTGACTTTTTTCTGAACTTGCAGAAAGAGTTAAACAGCAGTGCAAAACTATATTAAAAAGAACGCTCGTTAAAATCAGTTCTGGTGCACAGCTTATCTTAGGTGGAATTGTGGCGTAGTGACAAGCGGCACATTTGACAGCTGGTTTGTCGCCTGTTGCAGGATAATTTATTCTACACTCTGGTTGCAATTTGAGAAGTTGGGACTCTGTCCAATGAACCAACCTAGGAGTCAAGAGTGAACTTGATTCTGGAGCGAATGGAGGTGGCAGAAGCCAGATAAGGATGAAGTTTTTTTTTGCGCCTTGTTAATATCCAAACTTTAACCGGCTCCAAAGTAATATAGTTCCATCGTATCTCGGTGCTTCCAGATTAACTTTCTCAGCCCCATTTAAAATATGTCTTATTAATTTGTCCCTGTGTCTCAGTTGCTGTTCCCCTTAATTGGTATTCTTGTGAATTGTCGGGATGATTGCTAGAACCCTCCACAGAATATGTTTTTTCAGTACCCTAGATTCTATATTACCAAACACCTATTTTTATACCTGTGAAAAGGCATGATAAAAGACCAAATTGTATAGTTCAACATAATTAATTCTTAAATTGTTGTTTAATTGTTGTATGGTATCCTGGTTGATAGGTGAACTCAAGTAGTACAAGAGCTTTATTGCCTCATTGCTAGGCTATGCTGGTTTGATGGGCAAGTCAATATCTATGAAGTCCCCTAAGTATTCTCTCCAATAAGATGGCTTGGAGCAGGGCTTGAACCCCACAAGGCCAGGACAAGCTGGATATTCGAGATAACAAGGTGTAGAGCTGGATGAACACAGCAAGCCAAGCAGCATCAGAGGAGCAGGAAAGCTGATGTTTCGGGCCTAGGCCCTTCTTCAGTAATTTCTGAAGAAGGGTCCAGAACTGAAACGTCAGCTTTCCTGCTCCTCTGATGCTGCTTGGCCTGATGTGTTCATCCAGCTCTACACCTTGTTATGTCAGATTCTCCAGCATCTGCAGTTCCTACTATCTCTCAAGCTGGATATTCAGTCAGTTGGAAAAACATGATCTGAAGACCCTATTTATTTAATGAACCAGTCTGCTGCAGAGGTGAAACCAGGGTGGTGCCAGAGGTAGTGCCAGGGTGAGCTGGATAACCATTATTTGAAGACCCCAAATTTGGGACAGCCAGCCCAGTGCATAGGGGTTAAGACCGCACACGGTAAGGTTAAGCTTGGTTTATGTAGATGCCGGACAAGAAACTAGGTTAAGAAATTTGCACAGCAAAGTGAAATGAAGTCTGAAGTGATCTCAAATCTATCAGAACAAAATTGGGGTGATTAGATAAAGAAATCAGGCTTGGAACACTCCCAATTCAAAGTATATGGCTGCTAATATTATTTCACTGATGAAAATTAATGTCTTCCTTTTGTTGAAATTGACAGTGGATACATTGTCTGTATACCTGAGTATTGCTGAAAAAAAAAAGACAGGCTCTTGCATTAAGACAGATGCAAGAGTACCAAATTGAAAAGGGAACATTAATTAATTAAATAACATTGATTGTTTACTATCTGTATCACTAAGTGACACATGCACACTGTTCACTACATAGCACATGCATGATTATTAGATTGCATCTCAATGTAACTATTTCAACACTGTTTATTTTTCACGTTTAAACCGACGTTCTCACTGCTTCAAAGTCATTGCCTCAATTCTGCCCTCAATTAAAATATGCTCTTGTGTAGTGATAATTCTTAGAAAGCAATCAGGAATGGGAATATTTGATCACTCTTTAGCTCCTGAGGTCAGTTGTTGTT